GGGGAGGGAAAGGGAAGAAGGAGCAAGCTCAGGATTCTGTGAAAAACGCTACCTCAAAGGAATACAGCAGAGAATGATGGAATAGGACACCCAGCCTCCTCTTCTGGCCTCAAAATGTGCGCCCACATACACACATGCATACATATACCACAGGCACACTCACCTCACTTGAAAAAAATAATAAAAAAATAAAAAGAAAAGATTCAAAGACATAATGTGGATGAGTATTGTAAGTAGAAATAAAACAAGACAAGATTAATATTGCTCCCTATACAAATATAAAGCCAAATACATCTGTGGAGTTATTTTACGCATAGAAATAAACACAACAAAGGACTAAAATGCCATTTAAGATATTCAAACCACTTTACTGCAGAGATCCCTAAAACATTTAAATCAAAGTTACAAGCTGGGAATGTGGAGTGGGTGAGGGTATAATAAATACTGCTTAGTTTATATTTTAAAGCCCAAGTTTGACTGGGATAATTCTGAACATTCGAGACTTAGAATACTCAAAAGCAACCCTGTAAGTTTCAATAATAACTTGGTCTCTGGTCCCCCTGAAGAGCACACTGTCAGAATATGTCATTCACTACTACTTCCCTAACCTACTACTTCACATACAACTGACTGAACAGATCAGTGACGGCGTACAAGTTTTAGCATTTCATTTTAGTACTAAACTCCATAAGTACACGAGTCTGAAACTATTCTGTTACCGTCCACATCTGCAGAGCAAGGGGAATGCGGGTGTCAGAAATCTAAGGAGCCGTTCAAAGCTCTCCTCTGGTCTAAACTGTTCCTCTCGGCACTCTCCTTCAACCTTTCAGATTCTGATTGTAGTTTAGTAAACCAGCTCAAGCCTGTAATCCCAGAAGCTGGGGAGGCTGGGGCGGAACTGGGGCCAGCCTCCTTCCTGGCTTTCAGACTACCTTCTGTGAGTAGTCATTCAATTTCATTCATGCAAGCTTCGAATTAAAGGCCTAGTTCAAACCACTTCCCTGGGGAGCACCAAGCCTAGGCACCAGCTCCGACTGGTGACCAAGGATGGGGAACTCCAGGAAACTCCTGCCAGCCTTAGCAGTCTAGGAATGGCAAGAACCACTGCTTTCAGCTACTTGGCCTCTTTAGGAGGCACTGTCTCCGGAAGCACAGCAGACTGAAGGGAAATGAAACACAAGCTGACCTGCAATACAAATGGCAACTGCCAACATAGAACATCGCTGGAGGTTTGTAACAATCAAGCAAAACAGGAAGGGGCTCTGCCTGAGCAGTTCGGACAGGGCCATATTAAGGTCATCTGACTTAACAGGACCCTACAATTGACTATACATCTGAGTGCTAGATAGGAGAGAAAAGTAAAATATGGTTCTCTGCCCTTAAGAAGCTTTAAGAGTCCAAAGAAAACAAATTTTGAATTATCTGGGCTCCCAATAGAGTAAGAAACCTTTCTAGAAGTAGGTTATGTCATAATGAATTAAAAAGGCCAATTTGTAAATCAAGGGGTATATTACTTAAAGAGTGGGGCTCAGTTAATGAAGAATGGGGTACACTCCAACAGATGAAGTCTGATGTGATCCAAATTTGTAATTCCATCATGAGTTCAAGGCCAGCCTGCGCTCCATAAAATGAAGACTGACCTGAGATTTTTCTGCACAGCCTAGTAAAAATCAAGAAAATGAAAGGAAGTATTTAAGTAAAAGTTAAAACTGAGTAAGGTTAAATTTTTAACTTAAAATTTTTTGTATCAGTGAGAGGGGAGGGGGATAAAGAAAGCTGTACTTTATTACATAAATAAATAATAAATACATAGGACTGGACCAGACTCATTAGGTCAAAATTTATTTCAACCACTCCCTAGCCACGTTATGAGAGAAAGTTACTTAACCGTTCTCTGCCTTCGTCTTCACACCTGTGAAATAGGGCAGAAAAAAGTAACAAAGACTGTCGGGTCAGTAGCAAAATCATCACAGCACAGGTGTGATTAAATCGCCCTGCTGATCAAAACTTTAAGATCAGAGTCAAATTCCCATCTTTCAGGCACTGGCCCCTCCTTCTTGGTTTTAAACCTCAAACACCTTCCCACTTCCACGAACCAATGGGATCTAGTGTCCTTTCTCCAAAATAAGCACTTCCCTAACTATGCATCCTCAAAGCCTTTCTTCACCATCTGTCAAAGCCCACTACTCCAGGAAATTAACCCTCCTTCAATTCCAAAGTGCTCTGCCTGCTCTTTACAGTTTACCAACGCTGCAATAGTTTCCCTAATGCTCGTTTCTCACTCAAGTGTAGTTTCAGAGAGCTGGGGCAAAAATTATGTTTCATCCTCAACCCAGAAGGTGCAAAGGCTGGAAAAGGCGACGCAGACTTAAACTGGACGTTGACAACTGGGATGGCTGCAAAGCCACAAACTGCTTCGTTTCGAATAATTTTTTAATTGCTTTCGGAGCCCCCAAAAAAATCCACTCCACGAAACGTCCTTTAAAGAACAGACCGACGCCATCCCTTTCAAGAAAAGTTCCACGGGGCACCCCCGCGCGAGTGGCCCGGCGGCGGTCACCCTCCGCTTGGCAAGTTAAGCGTGCAGCCCGGGCAGCGGCACTGCGGTCGGCGCGGTAGTTTGAACTGAGGGCAGCGGGCCGGCTCCACGCTCCCGCCAACTTCCCGCAGGCCGCCGCCGCCTCCCGCGTCCGTCCGTCCGACCGCCCGCCCGCAGCGACACCCTCCCGGCCCGGGGACCGCGCACTGTGCTCGGCCCCCCGGGGTCCTCCAGCGCGGAGCGCCTCGGGCCTGGCCGCCGCCCGCTCCCCTCAGCCCCGAGGCCTCGCTCCCTCCCCGCGGGGCAGCCGCTCCGCTCCGCTCCGGGTCGCAGGCCGCCGCCCCAGAGGGGAGCTGAGGGGGGGACTCGCCGAGCTCCGCGTGGCGCCGGGGGCGGAGCCGGCCCCCGAGGGCTCCCGAGAGGACGAGGGCGGGTGGCGGAGTCCGCCTTCCCCGCCGCGCCCCCCGGCGTCCCCCCTCTCCCGGACCCGAGCCCACGGGCCGAGCGGCCAGCGCGACTCGGTACTTACCAACCCGCCTGGGACAACGCGGCGCCGGGCACCTCGGCCATGGTTAGCTGCTCAGGTCCGGGGATGACGGGGGTCTGAGCGGAAGGTGGGGGACAGGCCTCCTACTGGAGAGCCAGAAAAAGAAAAAGAAGAAGAAAGAGAGGAAAAAAGACGAAAGAAAAGAAAAAAAGAAAAGAAAAAAAACTCCTCCGGTCGACTGTGCTACTGGGCATGCTCAGTGCGACGGGCGCTTCCGCGTGCGGGTTCCGCTCGCCGCGTTTTGCGAGCGGCCGCAGGGGCCGGCCCGGGTGGCGAGCGGCGAGCGGCCAAACGCGGCCTGGGCCCGGTGGGGGGGAGGTGGGGATCGGACGCGGCGGCGCCGGGGACAGCGCTCGGCCGCCTGCCCTTCCGAACGCGCTTGTCGTGCTGCTGGGTTCACTTTGTGAGTTGCACGCTTGGGAAGCGGCGCTTCACGGGGGCGGGACGCGGACCCCCGCGGCCCGGGCGGCGCCTCGAGGGGGATGATGCTAACGCGGCCACGTTTGGGGCGGTGCAGCCCAGCCCATTCTGCACCAGGGCTGATGGTTCTGGTCGGGGCCGGCGCTTATGCACTTTGGCTGGGCGGTCCGGCCGAGACTCAGGGGGCTGCAGCTCGCACCTCTTCTGAGTCCCGGCAGGCGGATGGGTGAGCGGGGCACCCCGGTCCCTGCACTTGGGGGGGAGGGGGTTAGCTTTAAAGCCAGGCGGTGGTGACGAGACTGCTTTTCTTGTCACCCTCCTGCTGGGCGTGGCCCTGCCCCAAGCGGCCCGGCGACCTTGGCATCAGCACCTAGCCGGCTTAGTACCGCCCTACCCCGTGCCCTTTACGGCCCTCGGGAGGACCGGGGAGCACAGCGGGTCCCGGAGTGGGCATGCGCGGTGACGCTGCCAAGCTGCGCCGAGAGGTTCCAAACCTGATTGGGCAGGCGGTGGTCACGCAGGCCAATCAGAGACGAGGAGCCGGAATGGTGCGCGGGCCTGCAAAGGTTTCCGAAAAGTTTGCTCTGCTTGAGGGTCCTTTGCCTCCGCGGCTGAGGAAAACGAGAAAAATTTTAAAGTTGCTTCCCAATGGTTCTGGGAGGTTAAGGACTGTTTGAGAACTCAAACTCGGTCTGCCGTCCGCCGCGGTGGTCACTTCAGCTATGGTCACCAGGGAGCCAGACCTGGGACACTGCAGAACTGGCAGCTGCTCCTGGGGTTTTGGGAAGCAACTTGATAGTTACAGAAAGAAGGATGATAAGTACCCTGAGGATGGCTAAAATCTCCCAAAACCACGTTGTATCAATTTAGCTGTCTTCCCTGGACCTACAGTTCTAAAGTCACATTTTTTTTCTTAGAAAATGGGCTCTGATGTTTGTTTCCAAATATTCTTTGCTCTTAAATAAGTTTTAAGATGTGTACAAGCATGTTCAGACTCAGGAATAACTTTACCTTATTCCCCAGTACTTGTAGTGGAATGAAATGTTTTATGTTATGCATGAGTAATAAGTGTGTTGCCAAACTGCATAGACAGGAAAAAAAAACATTTTAAAGATAAATGAATGGCCCAAATTAGTTGCCAATTGTATTAGTTTTTAAATAAAGTACCCTCTTACCAAACATATCTCTTTTATTAGTGTAAATTGTTAACTGTGGAATTATGTCCCAAACACCAGACTCCTTGAATGAAGTCTTTACACTTGTTCTCATGTCCACTGTAATGCAGTACAAAATCACCATTGCAGGTGCTTATGAATTAAGTTAAATGATCAACAAAATAATAAATTCGTTTCAAGAATGTGATTCCTACTGGAGAAATGTGTTACAATGAAAGCATCAAAAAATAAAATGATGACATTAGCTTAATTAATTAATTATTTTGATCTATCAGTCTGCATCCTGGTGAGAATTCTGTTACCGCAGGCAGTCTGTTAGGATCTGCTGATCTGACTTGTCACCTGGATATGCTGTCCCTTTAAGAGACAAGCCCCACCCACTGCCAACCTCCCTCTTCCTTTGGCCAAGGCAAGTGGACCTCCCATCTCCTCCAACCTGTTCTCTTGCTCCCTCTCTTCCCCTCCCCTTTTCTTTCTCCTCTTCCCCCTTTCCTTTTCCCTTCCATAACCCACTAAATAAAATCTATACCCAAACTTTTGGGTTTTTTTTTTTTGGTTTTTCGAGACAGGGTTTCCCTAGTTTTGGACCCAAACTCTCTCTTTGCACAGCGTATTTGTCTGCCTCTCACCCTCCACAGTCTCCTACCCGTAGGGCCTCAGGGGACTCAAGGCCTCAGGGACCTGCGGAGGCCTTGGACCATCCACCACCTCATTGGACTGCTGCCCCTCAAGGGACCATTCTTCCCCAACACACACACCCTTATATCTTTAAAAAAGAATAACACAGGCCCTGTCACTGCTGCTAAAGATAGCTTTAACTAAATCTCTGCTGTCCTATTTATAAATAAGACTCAAGATTCAAAGGCGTGGGTGAAAACCAGTAAGCTCAGAGAGGTGGAGAAGCAACTAGCTAACCCTCTTTGCTGGCATCCACAGAGGACTCATGCTTCCCTTTGCCAAATCACAGAAAGGGGTGCCGCTCCAAAACCTACCCTACTTCCTGTGTATGTGTCTCTCTCTCCCAGATGCCCTCTACGGCCCTGATGACTTTCTGTCAACTAGTTACAGATGCAGCCTCCTGACCCAAGATTAATTGTATTAACTTAATGCAAATGCAAACTAAGTGTTCACAAAGTGATAAAATATCCCCAACAGCCCAACGTTCTGGAGGTGGAGGCAAGAGAAGGATGATGGTTCAAGCAAGGTCTTTCTTGACTACATACTGAGTTTGAGACAGCCTGGGCTACAAGAAACCCTGTCTCAAAAGCATGAAACAGGGTGAAGTGTTCTTAAAGAAGCAGGCCAGATTATAAATACAAACAGAGGATAGAAAAATCAGTTTTCCTAGCCGGGCAGTGGTGGCCCATTCCTTTATCCCAGCACTAAGGAGGCAGAGGCCGGTGGATCTCTGATTTTTGAGGCTTTTCTGATATGAAAAGCCACTGTATAAAAGTTTTGTTGAAATAAATGGGAAAGGGTTAGAAGAGAAAAAGAGACAGAGACCTGCTTGCCTCTTCAGAAGAACGGCGGATGGGCCGAGCTTGTCTCTTAAAGAGACCTTTTACACCTGCATACAGGCTACATAATGACAAAGCAGCTGTAAGACCCTGGGCTGGCCAGAGTTCTGCCTGAGTGCATCCTGCCAGGTGACAGGCTAGCATAATTCCTGAATCCTAACAACAAAATCTTCACATGTTCTCACATCACGATACATAGCAGAAGAGGAAATGTGTGCCTTTATCCTTACCAAAAAAAAAAAAAGGAGTTAATGAGTTCCTTGACGAAGTACTGAGCTGAAATCAGAGTAGCTCAGTCTGATGTGTGATCATTTGAATTAGACAAACATATCATTTAGGAAATATCTTGCCAACATTCTTTCAATTTTAACTTAATCAAGCTTCTAGGCCACGGCTCTCAGTCGGGTGCTGGGTCAGCAGCCTGTAAACATATTTAGTAATGTCTAGGGGATGCACTGGGATGCTATAGCCTGCAAGGGTGTGCATGAAGTCAACTGGACCTGATGGGTGTGGGAGTCAGGGCAACCTGGCTACACATGGGGCCCAGGCAGCACAGGGTTCCAGGAAAAGTTGTAAACTGACTCCACCCAGGGAAGGCCACCATCTAAGGGGAAGTACCTGACATTCCAGTCATTAGATAAGACTACTAGATGTCCCTGAGCCCAGATAAAAGCCAATAAGGGTCCTGGACCCTAGAAATTCCCTCACCCCAACCTCTACTATGTTAAAAACCCTACCCCAACTGGGCTTGTTTCTTAGAACTTTCCCCTAGATTTTAAATATTTCCAAATTAGAAAAGGCCAAAGTGTATTATACTAACATCAAAATTTTTCATTGAAATGTTCTACAAATATAATTTAATGTCCTGAAAAATTGTAACAGCTGACTTGATAAATTTTATCTTAAATTAGACAAATTATTGGTTCACAGCAAATTCAGTTTTAAACTCAATGAGCTGAATTTTAAAAATCGTAAGAATAGCAAAAAAATTTGGTAGATTAAAAAGAAGAAATTAAATCTATTTGGAATCAAAAATATAAATGAATGCCCCCCAAAAGAAATGGACTGAATCATTTGGATTCCCCTGTCATTTCAGTGAAGGAAAAAGTTCTCAGACTGAAAAGGATAGAAGGATATAGCTGAACAGGAACAGAAGCAATGGTTTAAACATGAAATTATTAGAGAACAGAGCCACCTAAGGAAGAATCACTCTTCCCAGAGGAGAGGTGGCAGGCTCTCTGTTACAGTTTGAATCTGAATCTCCTGCATGTTCCTGTTTTGAATACTTAGTTGGAGTCCCACACCACTGGTACAATTTGGGGAGGTTCTGGAAAATTTGGTGGCCATGACCTAGGTAATGTAGGTCCCTGGAAGCATGTCCTTGGGGATTATGTTATTCTGTTGGACCCTAGAGTCCAATCGCCGAGGAGGAGTCGCCCCAAGAGACCATCTCTCACACCATAGCTGGTATAAAAGCATGAGGATTTTTATTAATTCTATCATGAGTGGGTCTTTCAGCATTAGAGAGGCAAGAAAGACCCCAAATAGCTGGTATGGGCTACTTTTAAAGGAAAAAGCCACATAAGCAAAGGGGTGGTGCAGAATCAAAAGGAAGAGTCCAGAAATCATTTGTCAACTATTTTGACTAGTTCATTCAATGGTCAGCTAGCTCTAATTGATCAATGCTATGGCGTTTGCTGGGTTGGTTAAACAAGGAGAAACACCTGCAAGTCATCTGCAGGTCGTCTCACCCCAGTTACAGGATCTGGGTCTGTTGAAGAAAAACTACAAAAGGGATGGAAAGTAGTCAAAGTTCCAGTGCACACGTGGTTGGTTACCAGGGTCCTGGTTCCCAGGAAAGGGGCTGCACTAATGCTGAGATGCCCCAATTTCTGGAGACCATTCACAAAGACTCAGGGAAATGGAAGTTCCCAATATTTCAGTACATGTGTGGGTAATTGTTAGATTCCTGGTTCCCAGGGGAGGGAGGGCACTACAGCTGAGAGGCCTCGGAGTTGTCAGAAATGGATTTAGAGTTATTTTGCAGTTCTACAATTCCTGGTCTGTCTTGATGTGAGTAGTCTCC